TCAGCTCCGATGTCACCTCCTCAGAGGAGCCTTCCCTGCTTCCTGTGTCCACAGTGACGGCCTCCCGCCCCGGTCTCCCTCGCGTCGGCCCTTTCATTCCCCTCACTGCGTTCAGAGCCAGGCCCCCCCGCTCAGCACCCGCTCAGTGGGAGACGGGCAGGAGGTCAGGGCGCCCGTTCATTTCTTCACTCACTCGCTTGTTCTTTCCTCATGGATTTGGTTCCTGCCGGGTGCCAGGCCCTGGCTGGATGATGGCTTGTCCTTGGAGACCCTGCTCAGATTTCACCGCCTCCATGAAGCCCTTCTCAAACCACATCCCCTCCTGCAGCCCCCTCTGGCCTCACCTGGGCCCCCAGAGCTGTGCTCACTGTCTGATGGCCTCTCCAGCCTGGGAGCGCTGGGAGGGCTCTGGGACAGATACAGAAAGGGGCTCAGAAACGTGTGACGATGGCTACACCCTGACTAGACGGAAGGATTGCCCACAGGCGCACGGGGGTCCAGGTCACCCCCTCCCGTCTTCCTCCGGGAACAGGGCCCCTTCCTCACCAGGAACAGAGGGACCTTCTCTCATCCTGTGCTCATTTAGACCGTTAGCAGTCTGGATTCTTTTCTCAATTTTAATTCTTTTTAAACTTTGAGGACATGTCATGAGGGTATCCCTCGGTAATGAGAAACTTAATTATCACTTCAAGGGAGGGAACCCACCTGTTGTGTCTGAGCCAAGACCGGACAATGTGGAAAGAGCAGGATGCTGAGGAGGAGCCGGCTCAGGGGCTGGGCCTCGGGGCAGCCGGAGGAGGGCAGACAGAGAGATGGATGGAGGCACAGCTGCCGGGGCGGGGGTCAAGCCGGGAGGAGGGGGAGTCCAGGGGCCTCCACAGGTGAGGGCGGTGGCTTCCAGAGGCCCCTCTGTCACGTACAAGCCGTGTTTCTCAGGCCGCCGCACCTCCAGGCCTTAGCATGAGCTGGTCCTCCAGCAGGAGCGCCTTTCCTCTGCTCTCCAGACAGCAGTGCCCTCACCCTGCGAGACTCTGCCCTTCTGGCATCTGTTCCCCAGCCTGCCCGGCCAGTACCCCGCCCCCACCATGACACACGCAGCCCGCTCTGTGCTTAGGTCACCTGGTTGTCATCGCCTGAGGCTGGGATGTCTGCTTGTGTGAGAGACCGGCAGACCTGGCTTCTAGCTTTCTAAGTCTGTGTGACCTTGGACGGGTCCCTGGTCCCTTTGGAGGCTCAGTTTCTCTCTATAAGTGGGTCTGGCAGTGGTACCTCATGGGGGCGCTGTGCTCTCTGAGCTGCTGGAGATGGAGTGTTGGATGGGTGCCTGTTGCTGGTGCCCTTGGTGCTGACCCCGGGGCCGTGGCCCCCGCGTGCCCAGGGTTTGCGGGATCCCTGGCTGCAGTGATGCACGAGGGAGTGGGAGACGGGCAGGAGGTCAGGGTGCAGCTTTGGAGTCAGAAGACACAGCATTCCTCGGGGACACTTCCCTGAGCCCCTGGTCCCGGGCCTCGCCCACCCACCTCGTCTCAGCTGCCTTCGGGGCACTCAGTGAACCCCTGCTCTGAGGCTGCATTCCCAGTGCGTCTAACCCAGGCTGGACACTGCTGTCCTCACGTCTCGGGTGAAGAAGTGAAGCTCCATGGGGCTAACGGGAGGACCGCAAACTCAGATGCCTCCAGGGGTCAGGTCCAGAGAGGTGGGTGAGGCCCTGGGCCAGAGGCAAGCTGAGGGAGTGGCGGGGACTGTGGTGAGCTGGGAACACATGCTCCATCCAGAGAGTGGCTCCAGCTCAGCTCCAGAAGAGCGTCTCCGAGAGGGACTGTCGCAGGTGGCCAGCCGTTCCCATTTCATACCAACAAAAAGCTTGACACCTGGCATTCGCTCTGTAGTCTTCCAGGTTTTCAGTATTAGAATGAGCTTTGAAAATCTACCTTTGCCCTGGCGCCCTGAGTTGAGATGCCCCCTTGCTTCCGGCTTGAACCCTGACTGTGCAGATATGATGGCTGGAATGGAGGCAGCCACACTGCAGTCATGAGGGAGTGACACTAACATTCTGTTAATGGTGGGATAGAGAGGGGGTGGCTTCTGGGTCACCGATGACATTGTCGGGCCACCAGACCACATCTGGACTTCCCGTCTCTCACATCGTTTTTAAACATTACACGTTAGATGTCTTTGTGGTTTAAGCCACTCTTAATAGAGTTTTCCATTATTTGAGCCAAACTCATATCTCACTGGAAGCTGCAAGTCTCAGCTAAAACTTCTCTGTACTTAAGTAGTTCCCCAGCAGACGTGGGCCTCTGCCCCGACGCCACCCTTCACCCCTGGAAACGGCCCGTGAGCTGCGGTTCTGTCTGCCTGGCTGGCTCGTCCGCGCTTGGGCTGTGAACAGCTCTGGGCCGGCCGCTGTCCTTGCTTCTCTGCACACAGCGGGCCCTCAGACACCGCAGGGAGCTGGACCCCCAGCACGGCCAGAAGCCCCCAGCCAGCACGAAGCCTTTGGGGTCCCTTTGGCCCGAGCCCTGTGTCCGCCCCTCGGGGCCTCAACAGCCTCCTCAGCTGGTGCGAGGTCCCTGGTGGGCAGCTCTCGCCTCAGGGCCCTTGGGGGCTGAGCTTGGTGCACCGTCCGCCCGGGCCCTCCTGTGGCGGCCTCTGGAGGCCACGAGGCAAAGAAAGCAGGACCCGAGCTGCGTTCCAGGGTGACGCGGAAAGGGCAGCGAGGGACCCATCGCATTCCAGAAGGAGCGAGGTGCCCTGCGTATTCTGGAAAGACCTCCTCTGTGCAAGTGGGGAACAGGGTCCCGCAAGGCCCGAAGGAAGGAAGGGGTGTCCGGAGGGCCGGCGGGCGGCGCAGGCTGTGGCCTCCCCTGTACAGGCTCCAGACACTGGGCCTGGTGGTCGCCTGAGCGTGATTCCCCCAAGCAAAGCAAGACAAAGCCGGGAGGGGAGCCGGGCGGGGCCGGGCCAAGAGCCGGCCCGCTGTGTGCACAAGCCCCCCGGGCGCCTCTGGGCAGCCCGTGCGGCCACCACGGCTCAGGCGCTCCCAGCACACGTGCCACTGGCGCCAGAGCCCCCGGCACGCGGGCAAGCCACCTCGGCCAGCTCCCCAGAGAGCAGCAGCAGCGTCTGGGCCTAGCTGCCTGGTCCACACGTCCTTGCTATGGCCACTTGCCTCCCTTCTCTGAGCCTCAGTCTTGTCCTCCAAAACGAGGATTAACTTGGGTAACAGTCTATAGCAGGCCCCCAACAGATATGGCTTGAGTCCAGTTGGGCCGCAGGTTAGACTGGAGCCTTGCAGTGTTATCTGGAAGTTCTTCCTTGAAGCTAGCCTAAATCCTCCATGTTGTAGCCATGCCAGAGTGCTCCATTTGCCAGCTGAAAGGAACAGTCAGAAGCTTTATTCTTTTCCTTTTGTGTTGTGAGGAAGATTGGCCCTGAGCTAACATCTGTGCCAATTTTCCGCTATTTTCTGGGCGGGACACCTGCCACAGCATGGGCTGATGAGCGATGTGAGTGTCTGCACCTGGGGCCCAAACCTGCAAACCTGGGGCCGCTGAAGAGGAGTGCAGGAGCTTAACCAGTATGCCGCCGACCCGGCCCCAGGATTCTTTTGATAGCCTGTGGCAGAAACCCAAGGGGCTTGAACTAGGAAACGAACAAAGCAGGAGAGAATGATTTCTGTAACTAGGCCGTCTAAAGGCACAGAGCTTCAGGTGAGGCTGTACCTGGGTGCTCGACGCCATCAGCAGGGATCGGCCCTCCCAGCCTCTTGGCTTGGCTGCCTGCCCTGTGTGCTGCTGTCCTGCTCATGGGAGCTCTCCACCGTCACTCCCAGGCTGGCCTCAGCACCCATCAGCAGCCCAACAGAGAAAGAACTTCTCTTCCCCAGGATTCCAGCCCTAACTGCTTCCCGCTTCCCAGGTGGGAGATGGGGTGCCTGGCCGGGCCAAGGTGGGACCGGCTCTGAGTTCACATCACCCCCGCCGTCGGTTCCCCTTCAGAGAACCCAGCAGAGATGGGCTAAAACTCAAGGCCCACATCCCCAGGGCCCTGGGTCCTTAGTGACACTCATAGGTAAAGGCTTGTTTCTGTGACCTGTGACCCCTTGAGCTCTAGAGCCAAATGGAATTAGCAAATTGTTCAAGTCCAGATGGGCTCCCGCTGGGCTCCCACTAAAGTCATGCTGATCCCAGGACCTTGAAGTCCTTTTACAGAGAAACTAGCGTCCAGACAATATCCAGAAACCGAGGCTGCCCAGGCCCAGCTCCTCGGCTCCCTGACGTCAGAGTGCACCTTCCCCCGTGGAGACAAACAGCCGAGGACGCTCATCTGAGAAACCCTCTGTCTCCTCGGCTGGAAGCAGCCCCAGACGCAGGCCCATGGGAAAACGCTGACCAGGAAGGCCACGGCACCCTCCCCTACCTAAAGCCCCAAATCAAAAGCCCCACCCGTTTCTTAACGGGGAGCTAGCAATTTGGGGGCCCCTGGCCCTTGCTTTGCTGCCCCTGACTGGTGAAGGAAAGCTTTCCTTTTCCCCCAAGACTCTGTTCTTGTTATTTGAACGGGCATCGGGATCAGAGACCAAACATTCAGTAAGCAAGGGTGCAGCCGCCACGCTCCTCTGCACCCGTTCTCCTGGGGAGCCTGCTCCGTGGGCTGCCCACACCCGGTGGTGTGCTCCTCACCAGGGACTCAGGGCCGCGCTGCTCCCCTCCCGCCTCCTTTCCGAGCCCCACTTCGCTCGTCTGAAAGAGGAGCAGGAGTTCCTGGGGAAAGGCAGGATTTGGGGTCCGCTCCCAGCTTCACGGCCTGCTTGTGCTGTCCCATTAGAAACATTTATTCAGTCACAAATGGCCCTGAGCACCTACTGTGTTCTCCTCTGAGTTTTCAGCGCTGGGAGTTGTCCCGGGCAGGGGGCATCGCCCAGGAGCCTTCCAAAGGAAATGGGTTCTGTCCAAAAGCTCACTTCCAGGCCCTCTCTGCCCCTCGCTGTGTGTCCTGAGGGAATTCCTCCCCGTCTCTGGGCTTCTGCTTTCTCATCTGCAAAGCCAGGCTCTGGGGAAAAGGAGGTCCTGGACCCCCTCAGCTCTGACACGGTGGGGCTTGGTCTCAGAGCGTGTCTCCAGCTGCGAGTCAGCCCGTGAGCATCTCGGACAGTGACCATGATGCTCCAGAGGCGGGCTGGGCTGAGCGGAGGCCACAGTCACACAGTTGCACATTTGAGTCCTTCCCCTTCGGGCCGTTAAGGGCACCCAGGGCAGAGGAGGACCCTGGGCTCTGAGCTCCTGTGAGCTGCCCAATGCTGCTGCTGCGACAGAAAATCTCTCCTGGCGTGTTGGTGACTCCCAAACCCGCCCACCACGGATGGTGAAATTGTGGACTCCGAAAGGGAAGCACAGAGAGGCCACACGGCGGGAGGAGAGGATGAGGCAGAGGTCCCTCGGAACCGTCCATGTCGCCTGCCTCTCCTTCCCTCCTCCTTCCCGCCCACCCCTCCCTTCTCTGTCTCAGCTGAAATTGGTCCGCACCCTGGAGGAGTGGAGACCCTGAGGCGTTGGTGGGGGAGGAGGGGTCCCTCGGAGTATGCCCAGTGGGGACCACTTCCTTTTTCTTCTGGTTGAGCCTACCTTCTCTTCATTCTTTGAACAGCTGGGGACATGAGTGAATCCCCCTGGTGGCTCTATCACTCATTCTTCAGTTCACTCAGCACTCCTCGCCTTATTAAGCCGTGGGTTCCCTCCTTTATTCAGCTCATGCTCTTCTTTTGAACAAGATGGGAGATTTATTGGGAGAACACAGGGAGCCCCAGAACAAACAGAGAATAGGCTCACCGGCCTTCCCCAAAGACCAGAGCCCGCGGCTGGTGAGACAGGAGAAGCCAAGCCTGCTCCCTTCCTTCCCCACCCTGGGGCCACATAGCCACCCAGGCCCCTCAGTCAATCCTCCCATCTTTTAAACCTGTTGGTGTCTCCCCACTTCCACTGCCATCACCCTCGTCTAAAGGACTGTCCTGTTTTGCGCTTGGAAAATTGAAACGCCCTCCCAATTTTTCTCCCAATTTATTATCACTCTTGCCCGTTTCCAGTCTGTTGTCCTCCTCGCTGTGGCCAGCGTGACTTGCTGCAAATGGAGAATTTATTCAGTGGTTGTCCTTGCTTCTGGGATAGTCTGCAGAATCGTAGCGTGGTGTGGAACTGGATGATGGCTCGCCCACGCTCAGGGCCCTTGTGGTGGCTCCTCCCTCCCTGGAGGATTTGGCGGCCCTGCCCCTTGTTGTTCTCGGGCAGGGCACAGGGGCTGAGCAGCTGCAAGAACCGGCGTGGGCTTGACAACTTCTCCTCCTTCTGAGGCCACGGTGGCATTCCCGACCCAGCCTGCCCTGGCGGCCTGAGTCCAGAGGGAAGGTGCCATGCAGCAGAGCCACGTGGTGCACACATTGCGTGAGAGATGCACAGACTGATAGTAGGCCCCTGAGATCGAGATCTCATTTGTTATTAACCATAACCCAGCTGCTCCTCACTGGTGCGCGTGGTCCACGTGACCTCGCTCATTGCCCCATCTCTGCTGGAGCCATCAGTGCTCACACAAGCCTGTCCTCACTGATGCGCGTGGCCCACGAGCCCTCGCTCACTGCCCCTTCTCTCTGCTGGAGCCTTCAGTAGTTACACAACGTGCTCCTTCCCACCTGAGGACGTGGTCTGTTATTCTCTTTTGAAAGAATGAGAGGCACGTGTTTTCCAAGCACCCCAGGGGCTCAGGCCACCGCCGGGACAATCCCCGTGTTTTGCAGCTGTAGGAAATAGCTTTTACAGAAAGGGACTCACCCAAGGCCACGTGGAGAGTAGCGGCAGAGGTGGATCACAGCCCAGGTCTTCGGACCACTGGCCAGGAAGCCTTGGTCCACAGCACATCATAACGATTCGAGTAATGGCTAACGGACGTCTCTGCATTCCAGACAGTTTGTACGTATTAACTCATTAGCTTCCACAACGACCTAGAGTGAAGGTACATTTTACATAGGAGGAAATGGAGGCACAGAGAGGTTAAGCACCTTGTCCCAAGTCACACAGCTGGTAAGTGGCAGAGCTAGGATTCAAACCCTGGCATTCTGGCCTGCTCCTGGGGGCTCACAGGTGGTGGGGGGAACGTGTCACATGCAGACAGACTGAGCCTGCCCAGGGCTCAGGTGGTGAGAAGGGGAGGTCAGGGAAAGCCTCACTGAGGAGATGACGTTTGATCAAAGATCTGGAGGAGGCGAGGGAGCCGTGTGGACATCAAGAGTGTTCTAAGAGGAAGGACCAGCAAGAGCAAGGGCAGGAATGGTCTTGGTGTGTGAGAGAAGATGGGGAGGCCGGTCGGCTGGAGTGGGATGGGCAGGAGGGAGCGGGGTGGCAGGAAATGAGGTCAGCTCGTCATCAGGGCCTGGCAGGGCCGGGCTTTGCCTGGAGGGTGGCCACGGAGGGTGTGGAGCAGAGGAGGATGTGAGCTGACGTGGTCAGGCTGTGGTGTGTGGAGAGCAGACTGGAGGTGCGGGCGCAGCAAGGGACCACAGGCATTAGAGGGAGGGCTGGTGTGGTTTGGCCCAGGTTGGGGCGGGGGGCATGCGGAAGGAGCAGATTCTGGGCGGTTCTGCAGGTGGAGCCACCAGGATGGGCTGAGGGATGAGATGTGGGTGGAGAGACGGGGGGACAGGCACCTAGACACCTTGGGCCAGGCGAGTTTGTGACATCTACAGGCAGCTGGGCAGATGAGCCAGAAGGCAGGTGGACCTGCCAGGCTCGGGTCTGGGAGGGAGCTGGTCTGATTACGTGCGCTTGGTTTCCAGCCCCTGTTGATTCTTGTTGGAGGTGGAAACCCTTCTTTTGAAACAGGAGCAGAACCTTCTGGAGTTGGGCTGAGGCGAGGTGGCCGCTGGTGAGCCCTGCCTGTCCAGGCCTCTGAGATTGTCCTCAGAGCCCTCAGGGATGCTCCGAGGGCCGTGCTGAGCCCAGAGGAGGGCCTGAGCACCACCCTTCCTGGAGTTTGCCTTCCTCTGGGGGCAGGAGGGCCCTGGCATCCCGCTGCAGAGGCTGCTGGGGGCTGGTCCCCAGGAGTGACCTGGGAGTGGAGCAGCCCCTGCCTCATGCGGTGCTGGCCCAAGGGAGGAAGGGCTACCGGCACCAGAGGCTGGAGGGCCCTGGGAGCCCCGAGGCTGGCCTCTGTCCAGGGTGGGGACCCTGTGGGCCGGGAGGACCAGCGGCTCAGCCAGGTCTTGAGAGGGACATGGGACACAGAGCCAGGGGCTCTGCCCTCTTCCTGACCTGCAGCTCTTGGCCAAGGGATATTAAAGGTCCCCAGCTGGTTGCCTGGCCGAAGGGAGTGTCGCATGTCCTTTCAAGGTGACAGGCTGATGCAGGACCGAGAGGGAAAGGGAATCCCAAAGTGCTTGGAAGTTTCCCAAAGTTTGTCAGCACTAGGCAGTTCCTTCCATGTTCATCTCCGGAGGAAAAATCTCAAAATGACAGCAAGTTGGCTTAAAGGGGCCTTTCAAGGAAACCCTTTGAGGTTTTTCCTGCCTCCTGAAGATGATGAGACTGTGAGGGTCCCCGGGCGGCCTTGGCCTGCAGTGCTGGGACGGTGCTACATGGTCTTGGGGTCAGAGAGAGCTGCCCTGAGAGCCGGGCAGGAGTCACTCCCGGGGCACAAATGGGGACAGTGAGCCCGGGATGCTGACGATCTTCCCAGACACACGCCAGGAGGCAGCGAGCACACCGGCCCGCTGGACACGACGGCCCAGAGCTGCTACACAGGGACCCGGGGACACTGCGACCAGCAGGGTGACCTCGGGGGGTCGCTTTGCCTGTCTGCACAAACAGGACAGTGGTGGTCCCCACCACGCAGACTTATCGCGCCAGGACAGAATGAAGTCATCGACCCGAAGGGCTCAGAACGGGCCTGGCCCCTCACCCGCTCTCAGTGAGTGCTCATCAGTAGCATGTCTGTTCTTGTCATCCTGCTCTGCTGTGCACACCTGGCTAGAGGGCTGGGTCACTGCGGGGGAGCCCCGTGTCCATTCCTGTCGCTCCCCTGCTCCGGCTCCCACAGTGGCTCCCTGTGGCCTGGACGTTCTTTGTCAGTGCTCTCTGTTGAAGTCCCACACACGACATCACGTTCTCCCCTCTGTCCTCACTCCACAGCCCTCTATGGAAACAGACCCACTGTGTGCTGGCCCTGCTGCAGCACCTCCTGGCCGTGGCCGCAGCTGCTCCCCAGGCCCCACCCTCCCCGGTGAACTTCAGCCTGGAGGCTGAGGCGCTGCTGGCCTCTGAGGCTCAGCTGGGAAGGAGGGAAGAAGAAAGTGTCAAACATTTCCCTCCAAAATGTCATTTGGACAGGAAGCATGTGTCCCGTCCCTCGTCCCGGCTTCTATACGCTGTGTCCTGCACACAGCGGCACTTCTCCGTGCCTGCAGTCGTGTGGGTGGGGCCTGCCTAGCCCACCCCAGGTTCTGGAGGAGGGGAGACACGTTTTGTGCTGTCATCCAGGCAGTTGTTGCCCTCAGGCCTCCTCCCAGGAGCCTCTCCGGTTGCCTCCCTGACGCTGCGGCCTGGGTCTCTTGACCCCCGCTTTGTCCCCTCCAGGAGCCTCGCACACACCAAGCCCTGAGCAAGCGGCTCTCTGCTGAACTCTGCTGACATCCGTCCCGGGACCAGGCAGCGGGCTGAGCTGTGTGGGTGCTTCCTGTGGAAGGACAAGCACCGACTAACAGAAGTGCATGCGTCCTGGGGCTGTGTCACCCGCAGGACACTCCTCACTCTGCTGACCGCACTGCCCCACAGGAGGAGTTTCTGGACTTGCCTTAACAGAGAGGGACAGTCAGATCTCAGGGTCCTGGCGTCTCCTGATGGCTGAAGGGCCTTGGAGACAGGCCAGTCCCTTATTTGCGCTGCACGCCCTCTCCACCAGCCCAGACTCCAGGGACAGGAGCTCTGTCATTTGGGCTCCGCCGTTCCGTCCTGAGAAACCCGCAGTTCTTCAGCGGTTGTGGTGGAGAGCCATACTCCGCCCTCCCCGGGGCCCTGACTGCCCCTGCTCCCTGCCCCTTCCCCTCCTGGCTGGCTGTCTCCCTGCACACACTCTGGTTTCCCTCCCCCTGAGACCTGACCCCTTTCATTTTTTGGGCAGGTGGGGGAATTCGCTCCAGGCTGGGCTCATTGGGGTGGCTGAGAAATGCCTCAGGGGAATGAAGGCTCCAGGATTCCGGATCTCACAGATAGGGGCGTCCCCACGGCCACCCCTGGTGCTCCCGGGAGGGGAGGCTGGGCAGTTCCCAGCAGGTGAGCCGCCTTACGCTGGAGCATGGACTTGCCCCGACTCAGCACCACCAAGGACTCACACTGTGCAGGATCTACGGAACCTTTGGGATGTGTGATTCTTATCCTAAGCTCGTCCTCCCTTTCCGAAAATCCTCTGTCCAAGAGTTCGTAACTGTCACCAAGGGCACAGCAGAAGCTTGTAAACAGGGCGGGCGGCTCCGGTGGGACCGTGTCTACGGTTCTGGAGGACGCTCGCTGCCTTCTGCCCGATCCAGGGCGCATTGACTGTTGTGCCACGAACATCTTTGACGAGGGAACATTTACGGAAGGAACCTTCTGGGCCTCTTCGCCCTGGAGCGGGTAGCCGCACTGCCCGTGTCATGACACGCGCTGGCCCCAGTGCCTACTGCCTCCACGGTGGCCGCCCCGGCTGGTAGGGCAGGTGGCCTGGTCGTGTGACATGGAGTGTCCTTCCTCGCTGGGCCTGCTGCAGAGGGCTCCCGGAGCCCTGCCTGTGGGGACACGAAGCTCTCTGGGGAAGCCTTTCAGCAAAGGCAGGAGATGCCATCTGCACTCAGTGCATGTGAGTCTCATCGTGACGCGAAAGGAGGGAAGAGGGCAGCCACTCACTCGGTCATCTGCCTCTTCATTCAACAACACGCACTCTGAGCAGCCCTGACGCCTTGGGTTCCAGTTCAGTGCTGTCACCGCTTCCGAGGCCCGGGTTCATTTCCCGGTCCCAGAACCACACCAGCCGTCTGTCAGGAGCCACGCTGTGGCTGTGTCTCACACAGAAGTGGAAGGACTTATGACTACAGTGTACTACCATGCACTGGGGCTTTGGGAGGAAAGGAAAAAGGAAGATTGGAGAGAGATGTTAGCTCAGGGAGAATCTTTTCCTTTCAAAAAATAAAATTTATTTTACCACCTGTGTCAAGACCAGATATGGAGATGTGCCTATCTTTCACTTACACCTGTCTTATTCCAAAATGCTGTGCTTTTCTCATTCCTTCTCTCACTTTTAATATCCCTGTTTTACAGGTACGTAACTTGAGGCCCAGAGTGGGTAGAATTTGCCTGACATCGCACAGCAGGGAGGGGTCATGGATCCAGAGCTCCTTTCCCAAGCCAGGTGTGTGTGTCTGAGGCTGGCAACATCCCCGGAGTGTGGAACTGCCCTGCCCAGGCAGCCCAGGAGACGTGCAGCGACTGGTCAGCGGACTAGGGGAGGCAGGAAGCAGCATCGTCTGCGGAGGCCTTGGGATGTGCTTTCGAGGCATCTGCTGTTGACTGGAATCACGAGGCCTGCTCTGAGCTCAGACAACAAACGCCTGTGTCCTTTCTGGTTCCCTGCTGCCTTCCACTGGTGCTCATCCTGGGGGCCTCACCTCCTGATCTGCCACACTCCCCACCCCTCCCCAGTGCCTCCCTGGATTCTAGCCTGTGGGGCCACATGCCGTCGCCCAGTACCCCCTCTCCCTGTCCCTTCACATGTGCTGTCTCCTTTGCCCAGCCCAGCCTTCCCACTGGAGGAAGACAGTATTCACTGAACACGTGTTTATACCAACTCTGCTGGGCACCTGATGCCCTGCTGGGCTTCGGGAATACAGCAGCACGGGCTGAAGCTGAAGTTTGCCCAGGGCACCAGGGGCTCATCACTCGTAAGCTGAGAGCTGAAGGAGGAGCACACACTATGCAGGCCAAGTAAGAGGTGAGAATCCGGGAGGACCCGCCTGTGCAAAGGCCCTGAGGTGGCCCGTTTGAAGCACTCTAAGTTCCTGTGAGTTCAGGATGGGGACAGTAGCCATCCTGCCTGTTGACTCAGGAGCAAACCCTGTCCTTTCCCACCCCAACGTCCTTCCCAGGCTAAATTTGTAGTTAGAGGGCTAGAGTCTGAATCTGGGTCTGTCACTACTTATAGCTGTGTGACCTGGGCCAGTAGCTTCCCCTCATGAAGCCTCAGTTCTCTCCTCTGTGCAAATAATAGGAGCAACTCGCAAAGCGTTGAAGAAGTCTAGACGAACATGAGTAATGCATGTGAAACACTCCCACACTCAGTGCTGCATGTGCGCTGCTATTTTCTACTGTTACGACTGTTACTACTCCTTTTGTTCAAAGCTTATATGACTTAAACCCATAATCCCAGTCTAATCATGAGAAAAGCATCGGCCAAAACAAATTGGGGGACATTATACAAAATATCTGACCAGGATGCCTCAGAACTGTCAAAATTGTCAACCTTATGAAAAGCAAGGGATGTCTGAGATGCTGTGACAGCCCAGAGGAGACTAAGGAGGCCTGATGATCGAGTGAGTGTGGTTTGCATCAGGCTCACTGCTGCACCTGGAGATTTTTCCAGTCTCCCGCCCCTGCCCCCAGCCACACACACGTAGAGGCTACGAGACCAGCCCATTCTCTGGGAATGAGCCCTCTCTGGGCTCAGTCACAGTTCACAGACCATTGCTCTAGAGAACAGCGAAGGGTGGCACACCCAGAGCTGGACCACACATCTCCAGCCTGGGATTCTACGGGTCCAATCACCTCCTCTTTGAGTCTCTTCTGGGGTTCCTCATTTTCTGCCTCATAGTTGGAAATGGGGCGTGGCTTGTGAGGAATAAATAAACTCATGGAAAATACCTTTAGCCTATAACTGGCACACAGTAGATACTTAATAAATGGAAGTTATTATTACCTCTCCTACTGGATTCAATTTTCCTCAGACTATAATTCTTACTCTAAGGTAAGTGGTTCTCAATCTGAAGAGACCCATTCTCTTTTTTTTAAATATATTTTGTGACATTTCCATTATTATCCTGAAATTATCAGATAATAAAACACACCTACACGTATGATTTTAAAAATATCAAAGCAATACTAAGAGAGAAGTTTATAGCAATACAGGCCTACCTCAACAACCAAGAAAAATCTCAAATAAACAGTCTAACAGTGCACCTAAAGGAGCTAGAAAAAGAAGAAGAAACAAAGCCCACAATCAGTAGAAGGAAGGAAATAATAAAAATAGGAGTGGAAATAAATGAAATAGAGACTTAAAAAACAATAGGAAAACTCAATGAAACTAAGGGCCGGTTCTTTGACAGATAAACAAAACTGACTAGTCTTTAGCTAGACTCACCAAGAAAAAAAGAGAGAAGGCTCAAATAAAATCAGAAACAAAAGAGGAGAAATTACAGCGGACACCTCTGAAATAGAAAGGATTATAAGAGAATACTATGACAATCTATATGCCAACAAACTGGATAATCTGGAAGAAATGGATAAATTCTTAGAATCATACAACCTTCCAAAACTGAATCAAAAAGAAGTAGAGAATTCGAACAGATCAATCACCAGTAAGGAGATCGAAACAGTAATCAAAAACCTCCTAAAAAGTAGAGCTCCAGGGCCAGATGGCTTCCCTGGTGAATTCTACAAAACATTCAAAGGAGACTTATCACCTATCCTTCTCAAACTCTTCTAAAAAATTGAAGAGGAGGGGAAGCTTCCTAACTCATTCTACAAAGGCAAAATTACCCTGATACCAAATCAGACAAAGACAACACAAAAAAAGAAAATTACAGGCCAATATCACTGATGAATATCAATGCAAAAATCCTCAACAAAACACTAGCAAATCAAATACAACAATATGT